AAATCTAAAATGACCGGTTATTGTTGCTTTTTCAAATTTCTGCGGCGTAGAGTGGACGGGGCCTTGTCGTCATGTTTGGTTTTGCGGTTACCATATCCACGGAGGTGGTTATAAACAGACGGAGTGAGTACCGGAGCCAGGGGATTCCCTGTGTACTGGGGAATATCTACAGGGAAGCTAAGCTTATTTATGGGGTTAAACGTTTTTCGTCTATTAAACAATTAGATTATGAGCTCGAGATTTCTATTTAAACAATAGAATGTTTCTGCCGGGGAACTATCGGCTGATAGTTGCCCCGCGGAAATTTGATGTTCCTGAAACAAATATCTGCCCGAGAAGCGAAGCTTCGAGGGCAAATATGCTGGTTTGAAGAACATCAAATTTCCAAGGGGCAACTATCAGACCGATAGTTAATACAATTTCAATTGTTTATTTTCTATAAGCACGCTTGTTTAGAGAAAAAATTCACGGACGAGTAATATCCATTCGGGTATTTTCCTCGGATGGGTACTGTGGATTAATAGTCTCTCCGCGGATGAACACTATCGCGTCACGTGATCAATTTAAACCAATAAGAATCGGAGAAATTTAGTGGTGAACTATAACGCGTGATAGTTGGCGAGGGCACAGCCAGAGTCAACAATGGCGCGATAGAAATCGAGAGCGAATAATCTAATTGTATTAGTATAAATCTAATAGTCGTTCAAACCTTAATCTAAATCCTCTTCACACACACTTCGAAAACGCCAAAAGCGGCCGTCATTTTGTTAACAAGGACATGTTACTACGCTACTCACTGTCTATCACAGAATAGATAGTGAGTAGCGAAGCCAATCAGAGAACGGCATTCGTGATAGAACGCTAGTAGATTTATACTAATAAGAGATAGCTACGTTCCTTCGTTTGTTTAACGTGTGGGTAAAAGTCGAGGTGTTCTCGCGAGTTATTGCTCGTTTTCGCTTTTACCTGCTTTTAATGATTCTCATTTACATTTTTCGCATTTATCTGCTCTAGATTTTGGACTCAGCAACACTCTTTTTGTCTCTTCGCCGGACGGACAATCTACCAGGGAGCATCTCAAGACCCAATGCGGGTCCCCAGCGTATGCGGCCCCAGAGATCCTGGGACACAAACCGTACGGGCCTGAGGTGGACGTGTGGAGCATGTACGTGGAAGTGAATTTTTTATACTCTCCATCTTTTCACTAGGGGCTAGAGCTAGCAGATTATCTCTTCTTGTCTTTGTGCCCTCAGTTTTTTCATCACTCGTGAAATGTCCGAGATACGAACCCATCCGAACCCATCCTAATCTATTCTGATGACGTAGACGTACCGAGATTCCATTGGATGTAAGTAGCAAGCGGAAATTCAAATTGACCAATCATGGACCCTATACATGGGCCTCGGTAGCCTCAGTAGACTTTTATCTATTGTATCTAACACAAAACGATGTGGTCCCTTTAAAACCAGAACTACAGGGAATCAGTTAAGTGAAATTATGTTTTGCGTTTATTGCTATAACTTTCATTCCCACAGAGTTGTCAACAAGTCAGCAGTACTAACGCATCTGCATACGGGCGAAATGGCCATCACGCCAGAACTTATCTCTGGTTTCTCAGTGTAGCATGAAGCAACTAGGAGTATTTCTACTCCCCCCTAGATGGGATGCTAGTCCGTAGCAGGCTTACTCCGCGGCATTAAATTCGCCGGTACTCATTTATACTCCTGGGTGGAGAGAGACTATGTGAGATTAAAGTCTTACCCACGAACACAACACAACGTCCGACCGCGGCCAGGACTCGAACCCGGGCCGCTCGATCCGGAGTCGAGCGTACTTACCATGACCCTACCGCGCCTCTTACCTTATACAAATCCACTTTACAATATTTGTATTTTCTACATATTGACAATGTCCTTTTTTTCTTTGCAGTGGGGTCAACATGTATGCAATGCTGACCGGAAAACTTCCCTACACCGCCGAACCTTTCCACATCACTACTCTCTACAACAAAATGAAAAGAAATGAAATGAATCCTATTCCGGATCACCTGTCATCCTGTAGGTTGATTTGCGTAACTTGTCTATGTGTTTCTGTCTTTACCCAATTTATATATAATTCAACCGAACCGTTTCTATTGACTTTCTTCCTCTCCCCCCCTCCCCCTCCCCACCCTTCTCTATCGCTAAACAAACCGCCATTTTGAATACGTGGTGCGCGAGGGAGGAGTGGGAAAGGAGTTGTATCCCCAGATATGCCCTATTAGGGATTTTCGGGATATGGGGTATTTAGGTAGAAAATTAACGGGATGTGGGATAATTGGGGGAAAATTGGTGAGGTATGGGATACTTAGATCAGATAAAACGGGATATAGAGAAGGAAAATCGTTTATTTTTGAAATTAGAATAAAAAGGATATAGGATATCAGGATGGCTCCTGAGGATATTTAGGTCAAAAATTAATCGGGCTTGGGATACTCATTCCCCCCTCCCCGCTAATGGGGAGTCACATATATAAGACGAAAATCAGTTTGACGGCTTGGCAAGGAAATGTGCCAAAATTAAGAGATCGAACAGTCAGTAATAAATGGAGAATTGACTACCTGTCGAGGCAGCTAAATGATTCCTGCATTCTGTCATTACAACTTGACAATTACTCTTCGCTATTTTGTGGGATTTCTTGTGTTGAATGACAATGGTCTTTCTTCCCTTTCCTTGGGGCAGTCTACGGCGGCCATGTTCGATTTGACAATCCCTTTCGAGCAATGATACAATGACCAAGTTCATCGACGATATTCCCTTCACGATTACGCACGATTTTGTTGTTGGTGGTGGTGGTGATGATGCTGTTGTTGTTACTTGGCTTGTCTGTTTTCCACGTATATAGAAGTTCTAGGGTCTAAATCTTGACCAACGATTTCCAAACCTTGTTATGTGGTTTTTATACTCTCGTGTGTCCCCAACAAATTTTATCGCATTAATTTTTATTTCTAATAGCATGTAAAGACCTCATCCAGCGTTTTCTCACGTTTGACCGAGAGGAACGAATAACACTCGAAGATGCGCTCGGACACGAGTGGCTGCAAAAGGGATTCGACGGTCCCGTGATCCCGATCATGTTCCCGAATTATCCGCGGGATGAAGAGCTGGACAAAAATATACTGCGGCACATGGTGGCCAAGATGGATTCAAAGCACCAGGAAATAGTTGAAGCTGTGACACAAAACCGGTAATTAAAATTCTTATCTGCCTCAAGAAGATGAGAAATTCCGCACGGAGACGAGTGAATCGTTTAACCTTCTTATTACAGTGTGGCTATAGCTGGAACAATTATTCACTTAATGTACAAGACATCTGCTGCTAGAAGGTTCAAAATCCAATATCGAATAAACGCTTCCCTGCCACCAAAATAGACCCTTTGCATAAATGGCGCCTCAAATTGAATAACAATACAGTGGAACCTCGTTAATCCGTTCACCAACGGGCCACAAAAAAACACTGGCCGTGTTAACGGGTAGCCGTATTAAATTAAAGGGGTTCTTTAAATAAGAAAATAACTGACTAAGCTTTGTTCGTGCCAGAATAAAGTGGCCGTAATAACGCGGTGGCCGTATTAACGGGGTGGCCGTAAGGCGGAGTTCCACTGTACTTTGTACATCCTTAGCTTCGTATTTATGTTTCCATACAAAGGATATTTCACATGATTGTGAGGCTTAGGATGTATAAGTATTGTTATTCAAATTTGGGCGCCATTTAAGCAAAGGGTCTATGCATTATCGTATTGGCCTCAGTATCTGCTGCATGCTGAGGACAGATGCGCCAAGACGAGGCTGAGCCTCGATTTGATGTCTAAGTTACTTTTAGGTCGGTGCCCCCGCAACCAGGCTAGAATTAAAATGTCGAAAGTAACCTTTCAGAGTCGCTGGATTATATATGTGAACCAGTTCCATTATCTAATGAATTGCAATGCAGATTATCACATTAGGGGAGAAATTTGGTCGGATTTGGGAAAGCAGTGAAGATTTCAATTTCCCGGGGGGGAAGAACGGCTGGGCCCTTCCAAATTCAAATAGCCATTCTTAATTGATTCAAACGCCGAACTTTTCATGCATGTACTTAATTCAATGTATTTGGTTCGGCTCATGGAAAGTTCGGCGTCTGAACTGGGCCTAATTCTTAGTTTTTATGGGAAACGAAAAGCTTTAACCCTGGCTCACAGGATAAAGACAGGATTTCTATGATCCTTTTCTAACACTGTCCTTTCGTATTGTGTCTATTCCCTTATCACAGGTCCACCGCGACATCAACTGTGTACCATCTTCTAAAAAGGAAACTAAGACGGTACTACATCAAGCATCCTAGAAAAGCTGAACGCACCATGAACGACGTAACGCGCAATTCCGAGTTCGAGACGAACAATTCCGAGTCCGTTCGGAACTCGCGAGGTGCTTCACAAGATAAGGAAAATAAAAATGCGATTAAAAAGAGAGCTGAATGCAAAGCTGCGACAGTAAAGGCGTGTGATTTTAACGATAAACAGGAAAGTACTTCGAATGAATCAGGTTTGGAGACGAAGAACTTAACGGTTCCCGCTGGTCGGAAAGAGCTTCATTCTCTAAGCCAAGAAAATTTGTCCAAACTTGACGGGGATCTTTTAGAAAATGCCCGCAATATTCAAGGAGATATGATATCCGAGAAGTTAGAAAGCGAAACCGATAGAGATGCTTCTGGCGAGCAAAAAGACCGAACTTGTAGCGTTTTAAGTGACGCGGGCATTGAAATTTCCCGAAAGACGTCTTGCAACTATTCTTCAGTGGAAGTTGCGGGGGTGAATGGTCGGAAGTTATCCATGAACCTGTCGCATATTTTGATCGAAAGCAAAGCTACGGTCGACAAAGAATCCACTGAGCAAAATGAACAGGAAAGGAAGGAAAATACGGTAAACACCCGCGTAGGGTCTCCTCGACGTGTTATTGAGACGAAACACGCCGGGTCCTCGCCCAGACATTCACGAGCCAACACGCCATCGATAGGCAAAGTGTCTCTCATAAATGCAAAGATCATTTCCATCCCGTTACAGCAAATGAAACTGGATTCACCCGACAAGGTAATTACAAAGAATGTATTTGTTGTTCGCTTCAGATGAACCCTGTTGTAGTCTTTTGTCTTCAGAGAAGTTTAATTTCCAGGTAGTGAAGATAGGTGAAAATTAAGCGCGCGAAAATTAATCGCGTAAAATTGTAAACAATTCTTGGATGAGGTTTTTGTGATATCCGGAATGATCAAGGTCGAGGTAAGTGTTATCGGCCGAAGCCGAAGGCTGAGACTGATAACACTGACCGAGACCTTGATTATTTCGGATATCACAAAAACCGAATCTCATAATTGTTTTGTTATACATTGTATCAGAAAATAACGACAAACGCATTATCGCACCGAACGCAGTTTATTTTCGACAAGCCATGTTCTTACGTGAACTTGACATTGCTCTCGGAAATCATGCATTCCGCGCGCAACCTACGGATTACTCGCTAATCTGTAGGTTGCGCTGTTTCCCAGCATTAAATGTAGGCTTTTAGCCAATGAGAAGACAGATGGTGACTACAATGTATAATGATAAACAATTGTTAGATTTGGTTTTTGTGATATCCAGAATAATCAAGGTCGAGGTAGGGGCTATCAGCCGAAGTCGAAGGCTTCGGCTGATGAGGTTGATAACCCTTACCGAGACCTCGATAATTCTGGATATCACAAAAACCGAGTCTAATAATAGGCCCTTTGCAGCTGGGGTCACGTGACCAAATTTTTCCTAAAAATTTTTTGTATTATGGACTATAACTAAAAGAATGCCAGAAATGGAAAGAACGCATCGAAAATACCAAAATGGCCAAGTTTGAGGCCCCAGGAAAAAACGAGTAAGTTTATACCATAGTTTGAATT